CATTTATGATGTGAACGGATGGGGGTATATATATATATATATATATATATATATATATATATATTAAAAGATCTGTATCTTTTTACTGAATTTTTCGGGAACACACTAGAAAACCTATTCTGATCTCCTGAACCTAGACATCCGAAATATTTCCATCTGAAATGAATACTATTTGTTACTACCTGGATTATCCGTAGGATCTCTGCTCAACATAAAGATCTGTAAATATCTGAACCAATAAGGAAAGTATGTTTATCTGTATCTGCACGCTTTTCAGCATCATCTGGTAGTTCTGTATTACTGAGCTTTTCGAAGCTCACTCTATTACTCACATTTTCAGGTTAAAAGAATTGTATCAGTGCATCTATCGACTTCAGTAAGGGAGTTCTTCCGACGATGTTGCAGAGTATGGTACATGTGATTAGGGGGCATGTAATTGTATTTTGATTTATATATATGAGTCTAAAAATCTGTTTTATTTTTAAATAATGAAAACTAATTTTATAAGTTACACGTTTCAATAAAAGTTTTAAATTTTCCGCTATTTTTACAATGGGTCGCTCCGGTGGCCCAAATGTGACACCCCAGATCGGATCTGGTTACCCTTATCGGTCTGTGGTGGTTACAACGTATAAGAATTAAATTCATTTGAGTTAGAAGATACCTCGGGCTCTTCATTAGCCAATAGAGACACCACCTTTGTTGGTTCTTCTTTCTTGTTTACATGGATTTCCTCGAGCTTATTCCAAAGCTCCTTGGCACTTGAACATGAAGAAACTCCTTCATAGATTTCAGGACCAAATGCACACAACACCATGTGCATGGCCTTGACATTAAGTTGAGCTTTCTTCCGTTCTTTGTCACTCCGCTTATTCTCCTTCTTCTTTGGAGAAGAGTAGCCGTTCTCGATTATCTCCCATGCATCAAGATCATTGGATTGGACGAATACTTTCATTAATTTCTTCCAATGACGATAGTTGACTCCATTGAAGTATGGAGGCTTATCGGTTGGTAGGGAGTCTTCCATGTGGAACGAGCCGGAGGTGGAAGCCATCTTCTCGGTTGTGTCGGGAATTGGTATAGCGTCTTCTAGGACCGTCTCAAGGTGGTTAAACCTTCTTAACGAGTTAGGCTCTGATGCCAATTGTTAGGATTTTTGGACGCTCAAATAGACAACCGAAAAGGTTTGCAAAGAGGGGTCGGAACGGTTTTGTATTTAGGGAGTAAGGAGATTGAAAGATAGAAAATTGCACAACGATTTAGAGTGGTTCGACTTTCTCAATCAAAGTCTACATCCACTACCTTAGCTCCTCACCAAGGATTTTCCAACAAATTCACTAATTTGTTCTTTCTTTTGTTAACAAAGAGATAACCTTACAACTCCCTAGTTTTTCCGGGCTAAACTAGAACCTTTCCCTAGCTTTTACACGGAATAAGCTAGAACATTTCCCCTTTTACAAAAGGATAAAAGATGTAAACAAGAAAACCTCTCTAAGGTAGGTGTTTACAAGATTGAGCTCACAAGAACAAAATATTTACAAGAGAAAGATGAAATAAGAATGAAAAACTCTTCTCTTGTGTTTGATTGCTTGGATAGTTGTTCTCTTACTTCTTCAAGTGTCCTTAACTTGTATTTATAGCTTGGAACGTGTTTGATGTTGTATATAGCCGTTGCGGATGTTTTGGAGTCGTTTGGGGATGATTTTTCTACTAAAAAAGGCTGCCCATAACATGATGCATCGATGCATGATCAAGGTGCATCGATACCCCTTCATTAAATTCAAATAAACTAGCCGTTACTAGCCGTTGCAGCCTTGATGCATGGATGCATGGCAGGATGCATGGATGCATGGCATGATGCATCGATGCATGGCAGGATGCATCGATGCATGGCAAGGATGCATCGATGCACTAATTGCATTCGATGTTTGGATGCATGGATGCATTGCCTGATGCATCGATGCATTAGTGCATATGCATGGATGCACTGCAGGGATGCATGGATGCACTTTGACACCCTTTAGCAATTTTGCTCAAATCCGAATTTAATGGACTTTGAATTATTTTTGAAACCTTTTGAAAACTTTGAATAAATTCAATTCAAATCCAAAAATATTTTGCAAATTCAATTCAAGTCCAAAAACATTTTGCCTTAAATTGTTATATCAAAACATAGTTCAACATGTTCAAAATCCCTAGGCCACACATATTTTTCCATTAACACAGAATTTTCAAAACAATCCATTTTGGTCCCTTAATTAAATTAAATATATTTTAAATTAAAATTTGGGGTGTGACAAGTTAGGTGGTCAATGGTATAATTTATCGTAAAAAACTAATGTTTTATGACTATTGTATTTTAATTAAATTACATTTAGATTTTTAACTAATTTATAATTATATGTTTAGTACTTTATAATTTAATGTTTTATAAATTAATTTAATAATATTCATCATTAACAGTGTTCAACCATGCTTGTCGAACTCGACAACATCATCCTATATAAATATATTATTTGAAAATTATCCTCATGATCTTCATTGATTATTACTTTAAGAGTATTCTCTTTACGAGAGAAATGAAATTATTTAAACTTATGAGAGTTATTGTAGGACAACTGTCATAAATCTTATTTTTAAAGATTGATTCACTTTATTCCCAAGTAAATAATTTACTTAAGGGTTATTTTTACTACTATATAATTACTCAATTTATTATTTTTATTCTTATGATGTTTTAGTATCAATTTAGCCCTCGAAGTTGTTTAGGGATATCATCCTAGTTCTTGAAGTCTATTTTGACTAATAGAACCGTTAGTCTTCTGTATCTGTGTACGTCAGCAATTTTCACATCAACCAATATTATTGACGTGACTTGATGATGATGTAACATTTATTTAAAAAATAAATAATAAAATATTTGCTAAGCACAACAGTTAGAAAATTCATCAAAATTTTAACTTAATCTTTTAATCTCACTGAAGTAAATAATAAAATTATGAGATTTTTTCTAATTGTTGTGTTTAATAAATATTTCAACACAATCTCTTAATTCATAGACGTATAAGACTAATGGTTCTATTAGTCAAAATGATTAATAGACTTCTAAGATTATGATGATGCTCCTAAACAATTTCGAGAGCTAAATTAATGTAAAAATAATAATGACGAAAATAATAATTAAGCCTATTACAAAAAAATATCCCTTTAGCCTAAATAATTTATCAGGAACTATTTTAAATATTGGTTTTAAGTTTATTATTTTAAATTCAATGATAATATATTTAAATGATAATGTTTTTATAACGGTGTTGTAAAAGTGTAAAAGTATGAAAGTATTAATCATTTATCACGTGTAATCACGTTCTCAAACTTAATTTTTTATTTCATAGTTCAAAATTATCTTTTTAGTATCTTCTTAAAAAAATTTATTAAAATAACATATTTTTAGATAATTCAATCACACATAAATAAAGAAAATCGATGATAATTTTTTATATTTTTAATTTTCTCTATTTCGTCAATAAATCTAGCTACCTTAAAATCATTGCATTTAAGATGACATTTTTCAAACAAATCATAATTTTGATAATTAGCCCTTTTAAGTATTAATCCTGTCTACCTCACATAAAATGTAAGAACATGGAAAGTAGATCTCACACACGTGCAAATGCCAACAACATCATTATAATTAATTTTTTTATTAATATAACCACTGATATTCGACCTGATCGACTAATATTGATTGAGTAGTATAAAGGTAGAGGTTTTCGTCCCAATCCGCTGGAGAATATAATTATAATTAATATTTTTTTATTAATTATAAAAAAAAGTTTTTACTTGATTAATCCGTTGTATTAACTCATTGGAGAACATAAATAATAATATGATACTTATGGCTGTTGTTATTTTAATATATTAAATATAATTTTTGTTTGATTCATAAAAACATGCAAACTCGTGGCTATTATTTTCATTTCCTTTTAAGCCTAGCTTTAGTCAAAAGTCAAAACCCCGTAAGCCTAAGAAAAGTCAGCTTTGAGCTTCAATAAGTGGCAAAGATTTTAAACAATTTTATATATTACAATTGCCATAGTTCTACATTGCCTAACAATTTTTGTATAAAAAACTCTCAATTACTGAGTCCGCATGTGCAGCTCACTTTCCACTAATTTATATTAGTTGTATGTGTGTTTTTGTTTTTGTTTTCCCGAAGAAAATAATTAATTTCGGGGAAGTCAAGGTGAAGATTCTTGGTCTTAATTATACAAAATTATGTTTAGTGGGATGGTGCCTCCATAGATTTGTTCGAGGCAGGCAGGTGATGGTCACATGATTTGCTGATATAGCTTCCTTAACTATCTCAAGAAAAGAAAAATCAAAACACGTATTGACATTTATATATCATTTTAATCATGTTCATTTATAGTTTTTTAATTATAGAAACAAGACTGATGATGATGCATTAATTTATTTGAGAGATTCGATGACTGATGTACTAAGTAGAAAGTAAACATTGATGTATTCTTTGTAATAATCACTTGCTCACTTTGGATAAGTTTATTAACAGATAAGGACACATACAAACCAAAGAGATGCATTCTTTGCGTTAGGAACTTGTAAATGAGAAGACTCGCATGGAAGCGTTAATTATTTGTCAGTAATTGAATCCATCATCTCATAATTAACAAAATTATAAGATCTGTAATTCTAGATTTAATCGAAAAGATTGCAAAGAACCGGTGGAAAAAGTAAGAATGACAAACTGCCTGGATTTAACACCACCAAGCAAAATTTTACAACACAGAGTCCAACAATGGGATCAGTTTCTTTTCATCCATCAGAAACTTTTGATTATTAGAGAATCAAAATTCAACTTCAAATGAACAAAAAAAGGCCAAGCTTCAGATGAATAGATAAATGGGTGTTTTTATATATATATATCAGAAAAAGAGGAAATTAATTTACTCTTGAAAAAAAATCTCATTTGCAGGAACAAGTTGATCTCCTAAAAATTAGTTGGGAATCTGCATGAACGTCTCATCTCACCTAGAGATTTCATATTTTGCTGATTCTTCTGTTTCCCAACAGACTTTTGATGCCACTCTTTCGTGTTGTGGTTCATACTCCTGTTTACGGATGATCAATTATCATTAAACGAATGTGTGCTTAAACGTATTAAGACTTATATTCTCTTTAATGTTACAATCCGAATTATTTTTAGCTGAACTAAGATTCAATCCATAGGATAATGTGTGGTTCATACCTCCATGGATTTGACCAAGTCTCGGGCAGTGGGAGCAGACACAAGGATATGGCGTGCATTTGGGGATACGAAACCTTCTTCCACTGCTTTGTCAATAAACGAAAGTAGTGAATTGTAATATCCATCCACATTCAACAATCCCACCTGCACCCATTTTCAACCATCTTTAATCAAATGGGAAAGTTCCATTATTTCTTTGTTTCCAAGAGAAAGAAAAAGGAATCTTACTGGTTTATCATGGATTCCTAGTTGAGCCCAAGTTATTACTTCAAGAAGTTCTTCCAGAGTTCCATACCCACCTTCATTCATACAATATCATTCATTATTTTAAGTCTAAAAACTCGATTCGATTCATTTAAATCCAAAGGTGATTTGATTATATAAATCAATAACTTGAAATCATTTAAATTTGAGTGTCATACACAAATTGGGGAAAAAGCACTCAAAATCATTTGCACCTGAAATAACATGATCTGATAAATCATTTACCTGAACTCGAGATAACCCTAATCCAAAATTGACTAGAACCTTAAATAGGAATTTTGTGTCCTAAGTTCGATTTTCATGACCGAACTTGAGGACAATTTTTTCACCTTCCCTAGATATGTACTCCAATAAGACGTTGACACGTGTTGTCATGATTGGAGCACATGTCACTAACAGAAAGATAACAAAGAATGAATGAAGGATTCAATTGGAATGATGGTGATAGTTTGAATATTGGAATAGGATGTTTTGAAGTTTAAGGACAAATTTGGAATAGGGGTCATAATTTGAGGATCTCCCATGAAACTAACTCTGTTTCACTTAATACAAGTCTCTTGAAAAGTTTGGGTCAAGTTTTGGCCCATCTTATTATGATTATATTTGAAAACAAATATGTGGTCCAAGAAACGCCCCCAGTTAATAACATAAGATATGGAACAAAGATTGGTTAATAATATCAGTATGGGTACAAAACCCTATTGTTATTTTTATTATCAGCATAGGATCTGGCATGAGCAGAGGAGAAAGGACCACGTGTGTTATAGAAAACAGGATTGGGGCTGGTACACTGAAACCACATGTCCGGGACTACTGCTGCATCATAGGGTTGTTATATTCTAGGAAAATGGTGGTTGTGACTGATGTAGATAGTTTTAGCAGACTAAGGAAGGAGATGATGAATCTTATAAAGAGAGATAATATGAGAGGGACATTATGACTATTCGTAATCATCAAACCACAACAGAGATATCAAACACACACACACATATATTAATTATTGTATTAAAACCATGATTCAATTGTGATTATATACCAACCAGGTAGGGCAATGAAGGCATCAGATTGTCTAGCCATTTCTGCTTTCCTTTGGTGCATGTCTGAAACTGCCTTAACTTCACCCACTGTCTCTCCAGTTATCTGCAAATCTCAATCACTCATGACCCACCCAACTCAATATAAAAGCAATGCAAAATTCCTAATGCCCAAATGATACCAACTTTTGATTTCATTAAACAAGCAATGATGATGAGTTACACGAGATACTATGCTAAGAATGATGATGTTTATGGTGGGCAAAACAAAACCCATAGGAGAGGGACACCAATGGTGAATGCTCGTATGCTCTAGGGATGGTTGTGAGATTTTATATTAGGAGACGAATTTATAAAATTTTAAGGAAATAATCTTATTAAATTTTAAAAGGGCAAAAACAAATTATCAATAGAAATATAAAGAAAATATCTAAATTATATGAGAATTTAAAATTTTAAAGGGAGACTACCCAACCTCTATCCCCATTGGGGGAATTTTATGTCAAATTCCATTTAAAATGAAATCATAATAAATAAATAACAAGGGGTGGGGAAGCAACAAAAAGAAAAGTCCAAGTTGGAACCTGCATGAGACCCAAAAGAGACAGTGTGAAACCCCGTATTTAAAAAGATGACAAAAGAGAAGCAGAAATTCATGTCAACCATTAGAAAGTTGAAAATTACAGTATTTTTATATAAACAAAACTGAAAAATTTATTTCCTCTTTTACTTGGCAGAATTATGTGGAGTAGTCGTATCAATTGAATTAAAATTTCGAGTTGGGATTATTTTCATAATACATAATAAAAATAGAAAACAATACCTCTCTAGGCATGAGTGTCTTGGGAATCACTCTGCAGATATCAAACATGAAGAACACACCATTAAATCTAAGTTTTGTTATCCATCAATCAACTTATAAGTAGAATGCTTTGAGTGAGTTTTAATGAAAAAGAAAAATGAAGAGTACCCAATGACATGGCGGCCACCATCGAAGACTGCTTGAGAAATCAACCCCATTAGCCCAATACTGCCTCCTCCATAAACCAGATCAATATTTCTTGAAACCTTCATTTGTAAAATAAAAGCACAACATTTCAGTATATATATGCACGTATGTATTGAAAATATGAGAAAGAAAATGCATTAAAACCGAGGAATAGGGAAGGGGTTACCAATTCCCTGCCAAGCTCAATAGCAGCTTCTCTATAGCTGCTCTTCTTGCCAGGGCTACTCCCACAAAACACACAAATTCTCTTGAATTTTGATTGTTTCATTTCCATCTCTCTCTCCATTTTTGATTTGAAGAAACTAAGAAGATATCTTCTGCTTCAATGAACAAAACAAGAATGATAAAGAAGAAAAAAGTAGAGGGAAATTGAGAGTGAAAGTGGTGTCGGGAGTGCATATATATATATATATATATATATATATATATATAACGTTGGCAGAGGCTAACGTTGGCAGAGGCTACAACGTTGTCGAGTTGGCATGCGTAAACTCCATGTTGTAATGGTCCAATGCCCCCCGTTGCGATCAAACACTCGGATCATTATTGCCTTACCCCTTTCTTTTATCCCCCTCCAATCAAATTCTTCTTTCTTTTCCCTATTTTCTTTTATTTCTCAAGTAATTTATATTTTGAATCACTCAATCAAATATCATGCAAGTCAGAAACCTTTAATTTAGTACGAATCACATATTTTATTTATTAAAATAGTGTTAATGACATATCTATGTTTGCATTAAGGTGGGCAAGTGTCCATATTGAAATCTAAATTTCCTTCTATTAGTTTATCTTGAGATTTTATTTTTGCCACCCAGATATAAAAAAGTTGTATTGTTAATAGACGTGTGTCCACCCTTAATTTTTTTTAATCCATCAATGAATAGTATAGTGATTTAATTTGATCAAATAAAAGTTTTATGAGATGCATGAAATTCATACAAATTTCAATGGCTTAAAGTGTTGACGACTAATTTTACACTTTTTTAATGAAATTTTGTAAAGAAAATTAATGCACAAAATGGTTATATATTTTTACACTTTTTAATACCATAATTCAATTTGATCTAAATTTAGAGAACTCAAGTGTGACACTAAATGACCAAAGTGACTAATTTTTTTTTAATTTTTTATCCAAATCATTAAAAACATTAATTGTGGTATTAAGACGAATAAATAAAAGTTAAGTTTACAAAATATTAAGTTCCAAATAATATAAACCCAATAACCGTTGAAATCATTTATATAATTTGATGCATCCACAATTCACATTTTTAAGTTATTTTATTTAAAGATGATATCAAAATTTAAAAAATTATTTTTATAATAATATAAATAACCATTTGTAAAAGTATCAATTATTTTATAATTAAATAATTAATCGATAATGTAAACTCAGTCAATTTTTTTTAAATAGGTCTATATTTATCATTAACCATAGTATGTATAAGTTAGCATCCACAATACAACTTGGATAGTCACGTGGACAGATTAGAAATTTTAAATTACAGTATCAAAGTGTTGTGAAAAAAAATTAAATTTTTTATCATTTAAAAAAAAATAAGGTTAATTTCTCTTTTTAAAGTTGTCAAAAATCTTTCTAAAAATGATGTCATTTTTTCTTTATATTATCTATATAATGTGATCAGGGACGAAGCTATGCTTCATCCTAAGGGCCAATGTCAACCCCCCCCCCCCCGCCAATTTTTATAATTAGAAAAACACAAGGATAAATAGTAAATTAGACCTCCTAATTTTAACTAATTTTAATTTTGTTTCCCTCTTTTTCTATGATTAATTATATTTTATTTCCCTCATTTTTCATGATTAATTATTTTTACCCTCCTCTTGAATGTGACAGTGTTTTGCTAGAGAGCGGTGTCGTGAATTTTATATCGTAGCTTCCTTCTCATTCGGAGGATTTGTCTGTGGCTAACTTTTATCTCACTGAGGTGCGTCATCTCCTGCAGCCAACCCTAATGTCCGAGTTGAAGCCATCAGTGGAGTTTTAAAATAGGTTCGTTTTCTTATCTTATATTGATATATAAGCCCCAACATTCTCTCACTAGGACCAAACCATGGCATGTTGTCCCTCCCAAAACTTCACTCATTTCCTTTCTGTATTTAATCTTGATCGTCAAACTTTTAAAAAAATTTGAATTTTTTTCTCAAACTATGACCTTCATTCTAATTCGGTCCCCAAACTTTTGAAAATTCCAATAACATCCCTCAAAATCCTTCAAAAGCTTGATCAAAAGTTTGGAGATCGATTTAGAATGAGAGTTGTATTTTAGGGATGAAATTAGAATGTTTAAAATTTTAAAGAATAATTTAAAATGATGATCATAATTTAAGGATAAAGATTTATCCTCATATTTATTAAATTATCATATGAATTAATTGAGTTAATCATACTAGAAACAAATTAATTAGCATGTCATGTTCTCGTGCATGACATTGAGGGATAGGCTTTGATTGTGTGAATAAGGTATTGTTTGGAGTCAGCATCGGGTTACTTAAAAAATAATCAGCAGCCTAAAAAACATGCTTAATAATTTGACAACAAAAATGGTGGCTGTCAATTTTTTTGCTTTGTGAGGTTGATAGTAACATAACAAGCCATACACTTCAGTGTGCTTTTTGTTGTTGTAACACAACATAGGAGTGGGCAGTCGGCAATAGCGGTTGGGTACCTCTGCAGTCCCATCCAAATTTGTGAAAGAACCAAACAGTTTGCCTTCCTTCACATGTCTTCTTACACTGCCTTTTCAGATTCCATCATGTCAACACACATTTTTCGTCCTATTAGGATTCAAACTCTTAAAAATAAGATAGAATTTTAGGATTCAAACTCCTATAAATAGGATAAAATTTTGCTAGGATTCAAACTCCTAAAAATAGGATAGAGTTCTACTATTATTTAAATTCCTAAAGATAAGATCCACAAGCACTATAAATAGCCATTGTAACTCACCATTGTAAGACACGATTTACACACAAAACACACAGGAAGGCACGGAAAATACAAAGGCAAAGTTGTTGTAAACGATTCGAAAAGGAAATAAAAGGTAGCATCTTTTTTTACATTGGTTCGTTCATTTCTCGCATGTGCACGTTATTTTTCTTGAGATTTGGTTCGAATAACCCAAAACGTGAGTTGCGCCGATGACTAAAAAAGGGTGGGATTTCGAAGTTTCGAACCTAGATCCACCCCCGAGGCGTGTTCATTTTTTTAAAATATTTAATTCTCCCCCCTAAATCATTTTTTTCCTACTTTATTATTCTTGTTATATATGCATATTACTTTCTATTAATTTTATTATATATGTATATATGTTTTTTTATTAGTGTTATTATATATATATATTTATATATTTCCTATTTTGCATGTATATATACGTATATTACTTTTGATTTTTTATTTTTATTATTATTATTTTACTTATATATATATATATATGCTTTTACTTTTTTATATATTTTACTCATTTATTTATCTATTTTATATTTATCCTATATTTTATGTTTTATATTCTTTTACTTGTTTTATTTATTTGCATTATCATTTTATTTTTATTTAGTTGTTTGTTGTGCATATATTAGTGTTATTGTTTTTTATTTTATATATTCTATTCATTTTATATTTACTTTATTTCTTACATAATCTCCTTATTTTATTTGTTTTACTTTATTTATCATTTATTCATCTCTTCTAACCCATATTTTGACTTTTAAAGGGTATATTTGTAAATTCGTCAAAGGTAAGTAATTTTGGATCATTATTTTATCTTTTAATTTAACTTGTTATTTTTCTTAATTAAGACAACTGGAAATTACGTAGTACCGAAAGGGCGGTTCAAGAGTGCTAATCCTTCCTTGACCGTAACCGACTCCCGAGCCCGACATATTTCTGGTAAGACGCAAATCAGGTAAGAAATAGGGTATCCGATCAACCCATTTATCTTTAAATAAATGATCGGTGGCGACTCCAATCCACATTTTTCAAGTCGAAGCCCAATTTCGGGGCCCAACCGAAAGACGGTTGCGACAGCTTGGCGACTCTGCTGGGGACCGTAAGTGAGTCAGGCTAAGGTAATTTCCAGTTGTATTTTTAATGAAAAGGGTAAGTTTAAATTTTAAGGTAACATTTCGATCCTTATTGCTTACTTTAATTATATTTTCGAAGTAAATAGTTGTACTGACCGTTTTTTATTGATTTCAGCCCTTAAAGATTTTTCATCTAAAGGCTCTATACCCGAGCTCCGAACCCTATTTAAGTGGGGGTGAAAACGACGCCTTCGTGTGAATTTATTCTCCGTATGGGCCTAGCAAGTAACCTTCGGGATTCATATACCTTATGCCTTCGTGTGAATTTATTCTCCGTATGGGCATAAGGGAATGTTTCCTCTCGAGTTTAACTTAGTCCACACAAGCCTGTGATGGGATTAGGACTAAGGGTCTGGCAAGCCCAAGGGGGCACCAGCAAGGAGAACTCGGGTACCATTTTTTAGCACCTAAACCGGGAGACCATAGAGAATTAGAGCCCACCCCAAAATCTCATTCCAAACCCTAGGTTGCTTTGTTTCCTGCTTTAGTTTCTGTTCAAAGCATGCGAACTAGACAAATATGCGGTTAGGATTTGTTTGAAAGTAGCATGCGGGATAGAGATCATGTCCGGGTAGGAATAATAAGCATGTGGGGTAGATATCATGTGGGGTAGGACTTTCATTTTTATGATCGTTTTTTATTTTTTTTCACCTCACTAACTCTTTTCATCTTTCTTTTATTTTATTTTCATCACTTGCATCATAAAAGAGGTCATTGATCCACTAAAACGTGTTTGTTAAAACTCGAATAATCTGAATCCATGGACAAAGGTGTTGTAATACAAGAGATTAAAAACCCGAGGTACGACTATGGTCCGAGAAGACTCAGAAGGAAAAGGGAGACAGTCTTCAAGGAAGCTATGTGTCAGTGTTGGTTAGCTACGCCTCTATCAACCTAAAACAGAATAATGTGCAAGAACTTCGAGACATCTGAGATAGTTGGAAGAATGATCGGAAATAGAAGTTCAGTCAGCGGTATGGTGCATTGCATTTTTGCTTCATGTTAAGACCGATGAGCCCTTAATCAGAGTCTTGGTTCAATTTTTGAACCTGGGATACAGTTGCTTCACTTTTAACCAGGAGGACATGGTACCTACCATCGAGGAGTATACTACACTATTGCACTGTGAAAGCATTAAACTGGAGCGAGCCTACATCAAACACATCAAGAGTCAGCCTTTCAAGAACGGACTGGCTAA